AAGGATCTATATGAATAAACATGTTTAAATTCAGGAATTTAATTGTCATTCCTCAAAACATGAAAATTGTGACACACTTTTCAGAATATTTTATATTTATATTAATTTCTTTTCTCCTGCATGCTTTTGAGGTTCCAAAAAGTCTACAGAAGAAATATAGGTTTGCTATCTTACATTCTGTGGAGTTGAGAACCTATGAGCAGATCTTAGCATAACAGGTCTACACACAGTAGGAGGACCAAGGTTAGGTTAGGAACCTATTTGTAATTGAAGTGACTGTTTAATTTTGTAGCATGTTAACTTGCTCCATATATCAAAAGATTTCTTGTTAAAGGGTTTAAAAACTAAAAAGGCTAGAAATATACAGGAGACCTGGCAGCATCAGTGGAGAAAGAAACAGAATTAACAGAGTTTTTTCAGAACTAATGCATGCCCTCCTCATCCATTAGGACAGAGGTTTTATTCCACAAAGGCTACAGCTAGCCACAACAGCTTGACATGAAACCCTGAGCTTCCTGAAGTATTCGTACTTACAATTGTCAAAAGAGCTGATCCCCTGCTCATAGTTGCTGTTTTACAAGTTTTGATTCCTTCAACCTGCATTTCTTTGTCTTACCCGCCCATCTTGTGAAGTGCCATGTAGGTGACAGTAACGTAGTTGATGCTGCTGCCACTGGTGGCTCTAATGTTGTTGTTACTCTTGTTATGAGAGGTGTAAGGTAAGAGCTGTAGAAACTGTTCTGATGCCAGGATGAAGGCTGACAGCAGAAAAATGCAGCCCAAGGATAATGTAATCCACGACAGTTGGAATGACTTCCAATTTGAAAATCACTTGAGAGCGCTGTCTGAGAAGTACCGTGAGCAGCAACCTCTATAAAAGACAAGGCTGCAGCTATTCAATATTTGAAGGCTTTCCAGCTTGTCAGTTTCACTGATCAAGCACTCACCACGATCCTCTCACCTGGTTGATCCTGTTGAGTTTGACACTGTTTGGCAAACATGTGGCTGTTAAACCAGAATCCTGGCTAAATCCTAGGTTAATTGGGGATTTAAATATTTGAATTACTTACTCAACACCTCCGCAGGGTTCCTTGCTCACCTGTCACTTCATTGGCCATAATTCTGTCCTACATTTTTTCACTAAGTCTACATTATAACCTTATATGAGCTGTAACTTCATGTAGGAGCTACCTGGTTTTGGCTGCTTGTCAATAGTTGCTTCAAGGACCTCCTCTTAATATTATTCATCTTCCTCAGCCTGCAAATATTACAGAAAAAAAATGACTCGGAACCTTACATGTGGTATCTGACACCTGGCACCTCCAATCCTGCTGGATCTGTTATTAGGAAGTTACCTCCACAGCTAAACTGTTTCGTCATCCCTTTTGGGGATCTGGAGGCCATCGGTAAACAGGCCTATAAGTGGGTTGTGGTTGCATAATCTGCCCCCAACAACCCTGTCCCCAAGAAAATGGTGGGGCAAGGAGAAACATGGTGGAGTCAGGGACATGGCACGCAGGCTGTTGGCATGGAATTGCATGCCTGCCGAGTTCCATTCCTGGTTTGCAGATTTAAAATCTTGCCTGTAGTTCCTTAAATTTGCCAGCATTGAATGTCATTTCCTGCATACCAATCTATATCTTGGAGCTCGTCCTTATAATTGTAATTTGTAATTTTGATCCACACTGGGCTTTGGGAAAAAAATTCCAAAACTTATCAAGAACACACACGACAGGTGTTGGTATTTGGGGTTGGAGGTGGAGAGAAGGAAAACAGATGCATTTATTGGGAAACAGAATTATGAGAGATTTTCAATGGCTCTGGCAATTGAGGCATGAGGCAAGGATGGTTAAAAAGACATCAAAAACGTAAGGGAAAAGACACCGTGGGCTGAAGTAAGATCAAAGTCAATGGGAGGGTTAGACAAGAGAGGAGTGGATCACATCCAATGACTGGGAGGAAAAACAAATCTATTTCCCAACAAATGAAAATTCAGTTCAAATGCTTGTTACTGTGTATCTTGGGGGAGCATATGGCACCTAGATGAAGATGTAACAGATGATTGTATACATTGGGATTCAATTAGTTGATTTTTTTTTTAAATATAAAGGTTCATACTCATTACTTCTCAGGCATTTGGCTTTGTGAAGCTGATTTAGTAGTCCTTGAAACATATATTCAAAGAGTTAATGTTGTGTTTTAAACAGATCATTTTGCCTTGTATTTTGTTCAGTTTTACTTCTTATTTCTTTTAGCTGCCAATGAGGCACATTAGCTATTGAGTGAAGAGGATGTTTAGCTTGCTTGCTTTTAGGCCTCTTCTAATGCTGTCCTTCAGTTGCCGCTCAGAGAAGCCAACAGAGTTGATCAGTTTTTTTTTAAGATGGTCCGTATCAGAAGAGTTTGCCTCTGAAGACAATTACTTTGGAGTCTTAATTTTATATTTGTTGCATTCTCTCTAGGCTGGAAATTTGTTCAGGAAAACCAGTTGTCGAAAAATATTTCGATTAGATCCAAGCAGCTCATGGCATCATTTTTAGTGCAGTTTTTCGGGAGTAGATGCAGGGAAGATAGAGTATTTGAATACATAAAATAATTTTTATTACTGATTTATAACAGTTTAATGCTTTGCATAAATATTCATATGAATGATGGTTTCTGAATCACAAACTTGTAGTTAGGCATCCTAGTGTCATTCTATAATCCAGACAATTCCAGAATTCAGAAAATTACAGAATCCACAGTGCCAAGCATTCCACACTGGAGTGGTTATAGTGTATTAGAAACATTCGCCTATTGGTCAGGTAGATTCACAGTTAATTGAGGGCAAAATTAAAAATAATCAAAATTTGCTTTACTGAGAGCATCAGATTGTCCAGTAAGTATGGTATTGCTGTTTTAATATACATTTATGACACATAGAGAAGTTCAATAATTCTGAGTAGCTGCGCCCTGTAAAATGAATCTAGGTTAATTGCTTTCTAAAGCATTTTGAAGTACAGCATGTGAAAAAATAATAATATAATGAAATAATAATGAACTTGAAAGTGTGGTTTCAATACAAAAACATGGCATACCATCGGGAAATCACAGTGGTAAAATAGTGTGCAATAAAACCAAATTGAAATGAGCTCACATTACCGTAATCTTTAAGATATAATTCCTCAAAGCCGAAAATCTTGCACAAAATTCTGGAATTGTGTTGTAAGCAAAACTAGGGCTGCTCATCATTTTTTTGGATATACCGATACCAGCAGTGGGTTGAGTTACCCGCACAATTAGCTAGCAGAGGTGTGAAATTTGCAGAGACAACAGCTCTGAAAGTGATACTGTCCACCAATAAAGTCTTCATTGTTTTTGTTTGTCCTGAAGGAAAGCTTGGCATGCTATGCAAAATAAGTGATGACTTTCAGATGAAACCAGTGCAACTGCACTGAGTCTGAAATGTCTGAAAGTGGGAATGTGGTAAAAACTTACAGTTTCATTGAGATGCTTTGAGGGTCCACCTGTGGGAGTGCAGTAAAGGGGAATGTTTTTTTTGTTATACCATCCATTTATCAAAGCAAAGATCCCAACTCTAAAGACAAATGTGGAACAAAAAGTGAACTGTGCAGCAGCTGGGAGGAAATGAATAAAAAACTTCATTTTAAAACTTCCATCTTCAGGATATCACAGAGCACCCATGAAAGGTGTTGGGGCTGATGAAACAATCTGAAAATGTGCACGTCAATATTACTCCTTGCTGATGTGGAGTAAGAGAATTGAGGACAAGGTTGAATAATCAGCTGTGGAGAATTCATCCAGTACACCTTCACTCATGGCTCTTCAAGGATGTCTCCATTGTCCCTAATTCCCAGTGCTTCTATTACAGTTGTTTCTTCTCCCTTCTGCTCACAGCCACTTCCCCTCCTTTCAACTATCAACTTCTCATCTGATTATGACCTCTCCCCCTCTTTGTAATTGCTAACATCCACCCCAATCACATCTAGTTTCAATTGCCACCAACCCATCCAGGATTCCCAGCCTGGTCTCCGGCCACTGATTTTTCCACCCAGCCACTAGTCATGATGTCAGTTTGGATGGTGGTAGGGTGGAAATTTTAAAAAATATTAAAGAAGGTCTTTTTTAAATCTCAGTCTTGTCATGTTCTTTGATGGAGTTTTAAAGTTCAAAACTGGGACTTGAACTTGCAATGTTTTATCTGAGAAACGTGAATGTTATCAATGAACCAGGCTAGCCTGTTTCCTGGCAACAGGAGCAGTGCCAATATAAATGCCCCACATCGTCACACATTGGCACTGTTGGTATTAACCACACCATACAAGGATGTCCATACAAAGAAGATATGACTTTTGCTTGTTTCATTGTGAAAAGCTGTAGGGAACATTTTTGTGGAGCATGCAAATAGCTTGCAGTGTGACATGGAAGCGTTTAAAGATGTGCTCAGAACAAACAGTGCTACCAGAAACTACAAGATGTTGCATTGGAATCCAAGGGTAGGGTGTAGATTGACTAGAGGTGTGCTTGTCCATGTGTCCTTCCAGTTTCTAAAGTCTGGATACTTTGTAATGTTTCCAGGAGGAGGATGTTTACCATCACAGCACAGGCAGGGGACCTGCTAAATAGCAGGAGCATCTAGATCTGAGAGGATTATCACTTGCTCTGTATGATCATCTCAAATTTCCTGCACTTGGTCAAAGTGTATTCATTTCATCGTGATTCAAAGGTTGAAAGTGCTGTTTAAATGCAACTTGTTGTATTTTTTTTAGTCTGACAGTATCTGCATGTTATTTGAAAGGAAGCTTTTCTATTGACAGCCCTAACACCTTTCATGGGTGCCACCTATAACAGGTTTCATTCAAAGCAACCCTGCCATGCAGTGAAAATTCTGCACTTTCTCCAATTGATGTATCCATTGCAAATGGGAGTTGATTGAAGTTCTACCCTTTGTTATGATGGTGTTGATTTAATTCATTCATGAAAGATTTGCCCTGCATAGGTTTTAAGGATTCAGTAGCAGAAATGGTTCATTCTATGATGAATGTTATAGAAACAGGCAAATTATGTCAAAGATTAATTGTGTAATTTAGTTTTTGTTCCTGTTTTAGAAGCCTGGGAAAGATGAGAGTTGAGAGAATGCTTTATACATTATTTCTTCCAAAATTCAAGAACGCCCATCTTCAACATTCAGTTTACTGTAAGTTCCTTTGCATTAGCAAGCAGTAACATTGCCGGCAAGATTTAGGAATGAATCATGGTAAAATTGAAGCCTCCTCTGACCTTTCTTCTGTCTGGTCTACTCAGTCCATCACACACATAGAAACTAAAAAAGGAAACAAAGTTGAAGTAAATATTTCTTTCTACAAAGAAAAGTTTCAGTCAACTTTCAGAACTTTACCAATCTAATTTCAGTTGGTTTCCTTTCATTTGAACAAGCTGATCACCAGGGCTTAATCTCACCAGAATAATATGAATTTTGATATTGGAAATAATATCCTTAATGTAGTCTCTCTTCAGTGTGCATTTTCTTTTTCTGCAAGGTGCACAGCATGATAATTCAGATACATATGTCTGCACACGCATTTGCTCTAATAAGATGCTGTGTTGTCAGTGGAGTCTTGCAACTTTCAGATGTATAAGTATAATCATTGAAGATTAATTGTGTAACTTATCTTTTTCATGTTCTATTATTGGGCATTTGCAGCGCTTCAGGGTGATTTACTGTGCCACAGAAAGTCAGAGTCGATATCTATGTTGTGGTGATTGTAATATTAAAAAAATGGCTAAAATGATTTATTATTTCTGAGCAATATACCATTACTTAAGTGTTGAATGTGCAACTTGAAAAACAAATTTGATGAACCATTGCAGTTATATATCTGCTATTTAATGGAGTGGGGTACTTTAAATGTTCTAAAATTATTACATATTAAAATTCAATTGGTTTGCAGAGACAAGTAACGGAAAGGCTGCTCTGACAGATATTTACCATGCACAGTTAGCAGGTGGTGAATTCAGTGACAATAAGCGACATAGCAGAGTGGACATTACACAGGGACGGAACATTTTAACATTGTAAAATAAGTTATACTTAAGAGATGTGAAGGGAGAAGAGAGAGAGAGTAAGATGAAAATGAGCATTCATTGAGGAAATTACTCTTGTTATTTCTTTAAAGTTGGAATGAAAGAAAGGATCTTGGGTGCCTATTCATGAGAAGATACTTGGCAGCCACAGATATGGAATGAAGATTTGCAGTGTGTTGTTTATCATTTCATATCCATTAAAACCGGCAGATTGAATAACTGTATTTTTTCTGACCTATGCTCACAACAGAGAAGATTGAGGATTTGGAGAGCCTATTGATATGTTCGAACTCCATATCCTTTTTAAAACCTAAGCAAAATTGTAAACCTTGCCCATTCTTCACTGTGGTTGAAGCTGAAGAAGTTTTCCTACTCACAGCCACCAATTGTTCAATATATTGCTTGTAGGTCTCCCACTGTCCTCACTTTATTGTCTTGTTAAAACCTTCACTACCTGTAAGGAGTTTTGTTCATCAAGCATACATTCTTAATGACCAACATTGGCTCCCTATCCCCGAAACAATTGTTTAAAATCTTTATAGCCAACTCTCTCCACCACACCTGGAGAAGGCTTTGTAGCACTTTAGCTTCTTGTCTCACTCTGTGTACTTGTAAATGATTCACCTCTTCATCTATCATTGCAGCACAGCTTTCAGTCACTTTAGCTGTACTTTCTATGACTCTCCCCTTCAACCATCCTGCTTCTCTACTCCACCTTTAAAAACCTTCACAAAATATACCTTTCTGGCCGAGCTTTCATTCACTTCCACAAACTTTCCCACCACAGTTCAATGTCTCAATTATTTATTTAATTGATTTTTTTCTTAACCTCTATGTTAGATCCTGTAAGAGATTTTCTGTGTCAGAAATACTAATAGATATGAGGTATTGTTCATAGAGGGCACTTTGCTATTGGTTTGAGGCATATCACATATTACGTGACTGTTGTCCAGGCAGCATGCAGCAAATGCCATGTTTATTGGCCATTAGTTGCCTCAAGATGAGATGTCTGCCCCCTATCTGGGCAGAAGTCTCACCCTCTGAGAATTGCTGCCAATCAGATAGTTGGCAGTGCTCCAGGCAGCACCACAGTGAAATATCAGCAGCAGCAAAGAAGGCACTTAAGTGGCCATTAATTGGGTGGGTGAGGTTTGAAAAACTTCCATGCAATCGAGTTCAAAGTAACCACTGATATGTAGTTTACATGTGTTGTTAATTAAAACAGTGTTTTAATAATTAATACTGCGGCAAAACATTTTGCAAGATTTCCTTTCATTCTACACCCCACCACCACGCACCGCTAATTTTCATTACAATATTTAAGTTTCATTTTGATTATCTTCATTTTTTGAATTAGAAAGTCTTCATGTCAGAATAATTCAAGCTTATCTCTGAACCTCTAATCTATTGAGTTTCCTATATGCAGTTTTTATATTCATTAGGTCAAGTCTTAATAATAATGGTGAAGATAAATGACAAAGAAACAATTGCTGTAGAAACATTGTCAACTACAAACCTGGCATCTTGGCAACCCAATTATGTAGAAAATTGCTGAGTTATCCCGGTCCACTAAAAGCAGGACAGGTCCAATTCAACCAAGTATTGCCCTATAGTCTGCTCTCATTAATTAGCAAACTCATGGAAGAGCTTGACAATGTTTTTTAATGACACTGCTCAACAATGCTTATTTTGGGTTCTGCTAGAATCACTCGGCTCAGGTCTCATTCTAACCTCGGTTCAAATGTGAAAAGTAGAGCTGAATTCCAAATGTGATGTGAGGAACACCCAAAATATGAAGGCGGTATTTGACTGAATTCGGTATTAGGAAACTCTAGTAAAATTGAAGTGAATGTAAATCAGGACAAGAACTGTCCTATGAATGGCGACATACCCAACATAAAATAAGGTGATGGTGGTTGCTCCAAGCCAAACACTTCACCACCACTACAGGAGTTCTTGTGAATTGAAATAACCTGAAAAATGTCACAAGGAAACTTTTTTGGGGGGGGAGTAAAAGTAGAATTGAGTATACAGCATTCGCCTTTACATGCTGTATTGTTAAGTTGATGGTGTGATTTGTTTAATTTCTCTTTACATATTCAATAATGTTTGCTTTTGTTTAGAAATATGAAAACTTGTGGTATAGTTCTGTTAGTTAATTTCTGCATGTTCAGATTTCTTATTTAGATGTTAATGGTCTCTAACAGGTTGTAACATTCCCATATTCATGTCGTCTCCTATCTGAAGCACAGAGACAACAAATACATACAAGCTCCACTAGCTGCAAGATTCCCCTCCTCCTCACACCACCATCCTGATTAGGAACTATATTACTGTTCCTTGATCATCAATAAGACAAGATCTTGTAACTTGCCCCCTAAAAGCACTATGGAAATACATACACCATAAGGACTGCAGATGTTCAAAAGGCAGCTCACTACTTTTCTATGGACTGTAAATGCTAGCCTTGCCAGCAATGCCTGAATCCTATGAATGGTTTTAAAAGAAAACTGGTGAAATTGAAAATTGCTAAAGTCACTTGGACCAATACTAAAAAATGATCAATTGTAAGTCTATACAATTCCACTTTTGGACTCAATGTAAAAGTGTAAGTACATTGTATGTATAACAAAATTAAAAACAGTGAAACAGTGACTGCTTGTTTTGTGTTACCAGTATGTCTCTGGACCCAAAACATACAAAAGCGATAACACATTTTAAGGCAACAGAAAGTACTCCACGGGTATAAAGTTCCGACTGCAAACAATAATTGAAGTTTCACTTTTCAATCGTAAGGTATAACTTTAACAGGAATGATTGTTGTACAGAGCATAACAGATTAAGTTGATGTGAAGAATGTAAAACTATATGTTTAGAATAAATGCAGCATATTGAATGTTCCTTTCAAAAATGCACATGTTCAAGCAAACTACAAACTACAACAATCCTATAATTGTCTTGTCACAAAAAACATCCTTTGCTGCTAATTACAGACATAATAATCATCAGCATATTTGTAGTCCACTCAAGTGCTTACTTATTTAACCAATTCATAACCACATATCTCAATAAGTCAACTTTAAACAAGTATGAAATACGTTTTGCTAAGTATCAGTTAGATATTACTTACTAAGGGATTCTGTAGGAATGGCACCAGTCAAAGATGGTCACCACATATGTCTTGAATTCCTTAAAGTATAAAATTTTTATTTATAATATAAAAAAAGGAACAAAAATAATAACGTTGTCAACTTGGGGTGTGAGATGTTAATCACTTGACTTTTTAAACGAATAAATTTATCACCTATACCAAACAACAGGTAAAATGCTAATGAGAAAATTACAACTAAATAATTTTCGGTTTGGTATATTGAAAGATCATTATGAAGATGATGGGACACAAGTCACACCTCTAAATCAAGAGCATCTAATTTCAGTGACATCAGCAAAATGACTGCTGGGCTGACGTCAAGGAAGAAAAGGCAAGGAGGCAGTTATTTTTAGGCATGTCTTAGTAAAGCAATTAAATACATCATCTATCCAACCTCTCAGTTGCAGTCAACGCATGGCCTTACAAATCAACCAAGGGAAAACCAGAGAAGAAAATAAAATGCATTTGTCCTTACGCTCCTTAACACATTTACAAGAATGGTTCCAGGAATGATAAACTTCAGCTATGAGGATAAATTGAAGAAATTGGGACTGTTCTCATTAGACAGAAGAAGCTTGAGAGGAGATTTGATAGAGGTTTCCAAAATCATGAGTGGGCTGGACAGCGTAGATTAGGGGGAAGCTTGTAAATGGAAAAAGAATGTGAGGGCATAGATTTAAAGTGATGTGCAAATGAAGCAATGGTGATTTTAGAAAAAAAAATTCACACAGCGAGTAATGCACTACTTGGAAAGGTGGTGGAGGCAGCTTCAGTTGAGGCATTCAAGAGGGCATTGGATGATTATTTGGATAGAAGTTATGTGCCAAGAAATAGGGAAAAGTTCAGAAATTGGCACTAAGTAATAGAGCCAGTGCAGGCACGATGCTGTGAATGGTTTTCTTCTGCGTTGTGACAATTCTGTGATTCTGCGGTTCAAAATAAATGACACTTTCATTATATTTTACTGAAAATTTTTGTGTTGTCTCTAAATTAATACTAATTCTAATTTTAGCAATACAGTACATCTATGAAGTGTAAAATAATAATGTATACATTTTCACAGTTTCAGGTAAGAAACTGAAAATTAA